GTGACTTTTCCAAGAGGCCAAAAGCGCCCAAGAGGGTCCAAGCGGCCTCCAAGACAGCCCAAGAGCAGTCCAAGACGCCCAAGCTGGCCCCAAGACGGCGCAAGAGGCCCCAAAGAAGCCCCAAGAGCCCTGCAAGGGGACCACCAAGAGGACCCAAAAGGGCAAAATCATAGAGGGTCCGTGTTTGCTTCTATGTGTTTCGCGTTCTCACGTTTTCGGGCTTCCGACGCTCCAAGATAGCCCCAGAGGCCCCCACAACCGCCCCAAGACGGCCCAGGAGGCCCCCAAGAGGGCCCCAAGACGGTCGCGCCCAAGATCGCCCAAGAAGGCCCCAAAACGGCCCCAAAATGGGCCCAAGAAGAAGAACGCGAACCGACAATTCGAGCCTTCCGCCCCAAGAGGCTCCCAGGAGGTCCCAAGAGGCCCCCAGGAGGGCCCTACAGGACCCCAGGAACCCCCCTGGAGGTCCAAAGACCGCCAAGAGGCCCCCAAACGGCCCCCAACAGGCCTCAAAAGTGCCTCCAAGAGGCCCCCGAGAGGCATCCCACGATATCCAAACGAACATCCAAGAAGCCTCTGACCCACAATCCAGGCACGGTGGCGGAATGGGCCGTAGGCCACTAGATTCAATATTGTATCTCCTAAGCATCGTCCTCCTTCCTCACCATGGTTGCCAAGTCCTCGGCATCCTGCTCCCTCTTCTCACTCCGCATCCTCTTCCTCCATCATTCGCTCAACCTCTACCACTTTTTCGCTGTTCCTCATCCACCCATTCATCCTCTGTCCTCCTCCTCCTCCTCCCTCTCCTACTCCTATTCCTCCTCGTCCTGCACATCCTCCTCCTCCTCCTCCTCCTCCTCCCCCTCCTCCTCCTCTTCCTCCTCCTCCTCGTCCCAAGAACCGTTTTGGCTCAATCGCGCCCGCGCGGCGCCCTTGGGCCAGGCTCCGCACCTCTTCGCGGTGTTCTTGACTACGGGCTGCCGTCGCCACGCCGAGGGCGTCGCGACCAGCCCCGACCAAGTCGGAGCCGAACTTCGGGATGGGCCCCCGCCGCCCTCGCTCGGCTGCGCCGCGGCCCGCTGCAGGGGCAGCGCCCGCGGTGCCGTTCCTGGAGGACTGGACGCGCTGCTCGAGCTGCTCTTCGTGGCGCTGGAACAAGAGCTGGTGCCAGGCGCTCTGGCAATGCAGCTGCGGGACCGCCGTCGAGCCGTTCCGTCGGCACCCGCGGCGCCAGGCCTCCGCGGCTGCTCCAGCCAGCCTGGGCCGCGCGGGCTCCCTCGCCCAGTGCCCCTGGCGACAGGGGCCCGCCGACGGCGACGCGAGCTCCACTGGTGGCGCGAGCAGGACCTCGGACCTGTCGTCCGTCCTCACGCAGCTCGCGGCCTCGAAGGGCCAGGAGCCCCAGGCGGCCGCAGCCATCGAGCTGGCGCGGAAGCCGGTGGCGCCACCCCCGCCCGCGGTGGAGGCCAAGCCGCCCGACGAGGTCTTCCGCAAGGCGGCGGGGCTTCACAAGGAGGCGGCCAGGAAGCACCAGGGCGCGGTGGACGCGGTGATCAGGCTGGAGGACCAGCTCGCGGCGGCGCGCGAGAGGGAGAGCGCGCTGGCCGTGGTGCTGGCGGAGGCGGAGCACTCCAAGCGGGTTGCCGCGCCGGCGGCGGCGCGCCAGGCTGCCGAGGCCGAGCGGCAGCAGGATCTCAGTGAGGAGATCTTCCAGCTCACGTGGGACCCAGGTGTCTTCTCGAACGTGAGCGACCTCTCGCCGTCCGAGCGCGAGGAGCTGAGGCAGCTCGAGTCCTCGCTCACCGCTGCCAAGGCGGACCTGGCGGGCAGGGCGAAGGCCATCAAGGACAAGTTCCAGCAGGTGCGCGCGGTGAAGCTGTCACTGCGCAAGCGGAAGGGCTCCAACTCGCCCGACCGCCTCAGCGAGATCGACGAGGGCGACGCCGTGATGGGCGACGCGGTCCTCGGCGGCAAGGCGACGGCTGACGGTGGGTCCACAGGTGGCGCCGCGGAGAAGGGCGAGACCTCCATCGCGCAGGCTGCTAAGCAGATCAGCGCCGCCAAGCTGTCTGCTGCGCGGGCCGCCAAGACAGCTGCCGCTGGTGGGGCGGCCGCGGCGCGGCCCAGCGCCGAGGGCGGGACCCCGCAAGCAGAGGCCGCCCTTCCCGCCGCACCCGCAGCCGAGCCAGGGGCCTCAGCGGCTAGCGGGGCCCCCATTGCCTCAGCTTGACGTGAGGCCGCGGGCCCAGCCCAGGCAGGCTCGGCCCGCGCCGACACGAGTCTTGATGGAGGCGTTGAGGAGGTCGACTCCAGTTTTGGCAGCAGTGGGGGCCATCGATTATTCTTTGCGAATGTCACGGAGATGGGGCCACTGGCTTGGGGCTTTGTGGAGGAGTCGGTCGAGAGGTTCAACACGTTCAGCTTCGTCGAGACACACATGCAGGGGAGCCACTTTGAGAAGTGGCGGGTCGCGGCCAGGAGGCTCGACCTCAAGATCTTGGCCAACCATGCAAGGCCCTCCAGGGAGGGCCTTTTGGAGGGATCCACTGTCGCGGGGTGTGAAGGCGGCGAGTGGTTGTTGTGCAAGCGCGGCCAGTTCACGCACACTCTCGAGGGCAGCACGGACGTGGGTCTTGCTGCTCCTGGTGCTACTGCCGCCGACGGTTTCCAGGCCAGCGTGCTGCACCTCTAGGGCAGGGGCTCGCTGGTGGTGGTGACCTTCTACGGCGTGAGCGGCACGGGCTGGAGAGGCAGCGACGTGCGGCGCTTCGCCAAGTTGGGCGGGCTCCTCCAGGCAATCCGCATCCCTTGGCTGGTCATCGGCGACTTCAACATGCCGTGCGAGACCTTGCGAGGCGCGGGCTTCCTGCAGCGGGTCGGAGCCCAGGTGGTGCAGGCCAAGGTAGCCACCACCTGCGACGCGGGCAAGGAGGGCTCGCACATTGATTACGGACTGTGTTCGGCCTCATGCGCGCCGCTGCCACGGCGGCTGTGCCCTGGAAGACCCACTGCGGCCTCGTGGTGGAGTTTCGGGCTGGCCATGAGGTGCTTCAAGGCCGTCGGCTGGTGCTCGCCAAGAGCCTGCCGCAGGCCTCGCGCCCGAGGAAGGAGAGGGCCAGCACGCGGCGAGGTCGTTCAGGAGCTGACGCAGATCGCCGCGCCCTCGCCAAGCAGAAGGAGCTGGACCTCCACGCGCAGCTCTACGGCATCCACGCGCAGGCCAGGATGCTCGAGGAGGCGCCCACCGGCACAGGCTCGGCAGGTTCGGACACCTCCGACGCGAGCAGCGAGAGCGACGGCTGGGAGGCCCCCGAGTTCGGCCAGGCCCCCCCTGCGGCCCCCGCAGGTCGCGTCGCGGCGAGGTTCGACGACATGGACGTCGACCCCTTCGAGGACCTTGCCGCGGAGCAGTTCGAGGATTTCGAGAGCGGCCCGCCCGAGGAGCCCTCCGAGGTCGCGGCCGCCCCGCCTCCCCGCAGCCGTCGCCAGGAGGGGGGGGGGGACGGCCACTCCCTGCGCCCTCAGGAGGAGCGCGGGGGGGGGAGGACGGCCACTCCCCGCGCCCCACTGCCCCAAGGTCGCGGCGGCAGCGGGGGGCAGTGCCCTTGGCTGCTGGAGGACGCGGTCTGGCGCGATACGGCCGCTGGCCCTCGCGAGGCTGCCCCAGCGCCTCAGGGGCAGGACGAGACGGCGGCCCTCCTGGTCGGCGGCCCCCACCTGGTGCAGCTCAGCTCCCAGTACGCCGACTGGGCAGCCCACGTCGAGCGCGCCATCTGCCGCCAGCACGGCCAGCAGTACGCAGGCAGCGTCTCACGCAGCAAGAGGGCCCAGCTGGTGGAGGCTGCCGCCACGCAGGGCACGAGCACCATGACGAGGAAGGAGCCCCTGCGCGGGGCAGCAGCGCGTTGGTGTGCCTCAGCCTCTGCGCTCTTCGGTCGGATTGGCAAGCTCCGACGGCGCAGCAAGAAGGCAGTCGAGGACAGGCTGCTTCTGCGCGCAGCAGGGCGCGAGCTGAGCCAGCACGTCCCTGCGCAGGCCAAGAGGCGCTACCCTCGGGCCAGGAACGGTGGTCGCCCCATCGGGCAGCCTCGACCTCAGCACGCAGCGGCTGGCTCGAGGCCTTTGGCCGAAGGTCAGCGAGCTGCCCCTCCTCGCGCTGGAAGGTCTCCCAGGTTCAGCGCCCTGGTCGCTAGCCTGGAGGACGTGCACACCATTTTTGATGAGGACCTGATAGCGCTGGAGGAGGCGGCTCAGGAGGCGGCAGCGCGCGCTCGGAGGCTCGCGATCCAGGCTTCCCTGCGCGAGCTTCGACAGTGGATCAGCGCCGAGGAGGCCACCCCGCTGGTGTTTCGCTCCTTGCGAGAGCGACAGTCAGCCGCGGACGAGGTTCTGGTCGGCAGCCGCATCCTCGTGCACCCACGCGACATCCTCGACGCCAAGGCTGATGCTTGGAGTGGGTTGTGGGCTCCGCGACCCTACGACCCCAGCGACCTGCAGGTGCTCTTCGGCGAGCTTCGCGAGCTGGTGCAGTACGAGGAGATGGAGCCCATCACAGTGGTCGACATCCGTCGGGCCCTTCAGCGCATGCGGCCCAAGACGGGCAAGGGCATCGACCAGTTTTCGGTGGGCGACCTGGCCAGGCTGCCTGACGCGGCGCGGCAGGAGCTGGCAGACATGTACAACGCCGCAGAGCAGGCGGCCACGTGGCCAGAGCAGCTCCTCCTCGTTCTCGGCCATGCACTGGAGAAGAAGAGCGGAGGCGAGCGCATCATCGGCGTCCTCAGCATGGCCACCCGTTGCTGGAGCATGGTCAGGGAGGACGCCATGCGGGAGTGGTCGCGCCGCGCGGCCCCAGCGTGGGACGCGGCCGCGGCTGGCAACTCCTCGCTGCGCGAGGCCTTCGCGTGGGCCGTGAGCGAGGGAGTCTTTCGCGGCCTTGGGCGTCTCCTACGGGCACGGTCTGGTTGACATCCAGAAGTTCTATGACAGCATGCCGTGGGCGGGGCTTGCCCGCGCCGCCCTTCGGTGCGGCTTCCCGCCCGCCGTCCTAGCCTTGGAGCTGCAGCAGTGCATGGCGGGGCGCGTCCTGCTGCAGGACGGCTTGGCCTCGAGGCTCGTTGTCCCCTCGCAGTCGGTGGTCCAGGGCGTGCGGTCGGGCACGCGCTTCGGCAAGTGCATGACGTACTTCACCATGGAGCGGCTCGCCACTGGGGCCCCACAGGGCTTGCCTCAGCTCCTGCCGTCCAGGCTCTGGGTGGATGACCTCTCCCTTTCCGCTGTGGGCTCCCGCCCCGCTGCGGCTGCTGCCGTCTCGCAGGGCATCCGCGACTTCGGGCAGGGCATGCAGCAGGAGGGCTTCGCGATCTCCCCCAAGAGCGTGGTGGTGTGCTCGCAGCATGAGGACGCCCGCAGCATCGCGAGGATCGTCAAGCGGCACGGGTTCACCGTCCAGGCTTCCTCCTTCGGCACGCGCCTTGGGGTCGACCTCGCGGCGGGCAGACGGCCAGTGCGCACCGCGATCTCGAAGCGCTTCGGCAAGACGAGGCAGGCGAGCAAGCGGCTCCGCGGCATGGCCAAGGCCTCGCGGCAGTACCTGAAGCGCGGCTTCATCGAGAAGGTCGGCCTCCAGACGGCAGCGACCTACGGGCTCGAGATCTTCGGCGCCTTCGGCAGCAGGCTGGCCGAGTTGCGGCGACGGCTGGCGTCTGTCACAGGCGCCGTCAAGCGTGGGAGGCGCCTCACCACGCAGCTGGCCCTCCGCGCGGGGGCCTTGGATCCAGCACGGCGCCTCCCGCGGGCGCTCCTCAAGAACTGGTTCGAGGTATGGAGAGGCAGCCAGGAGATACGCCAGCGGGTCGAGCGCGCCTGGATTCCCATCCACGCCAGGCTGCGCGAGGCCCCCCCCCGAGGAGTGGTCGAGGCCGGTGCGCGGCCCCGTCTCCGCCCTGCAGGCTTTGCTGCTGCAGCACGGCTGGAGTCCAGTGGGTCCTCGAGGTTGGGAGCGGCACCTTCAGGACGGATCTCGAGAAAGGTGGGCCTTCCCTGACGTGGCCAGCATCACCGAGGGTTCCTGCCAGGCCGTCCTCGACGCCTTCGACGCCTCTGTCCAAGAGGACCTGTGGCAGCGCGCGGCGGGCCACTGGTGCGGGGCTGGCCTGGAGGGAGGGACCGACCTGCGCTCCCCACAGCGTCTCCTCCAGAGGCTCAGGCAGCTCCCAGGGGGGCCCGCGCTTGAGGAGCTGCTCGCCACCATCGCCGTTGGTGGCGCGTGGCCGCGAGCCAGAAAGAGGGAGGTCTTCGGCGACACGGAGCTCCTGACGTGCCCCAGATGTGGCGAGGCCGAGGAGACCGCCTACCACAGGCACTGGAGTTGCCCGTGCAACACGGGCAGCAAGGCCTACGACGACAGCGACGAGTTCAGCGGCCGAGCGGCGACCGACCACGAGGCGCACGCCGCCTTCTGGCTCAGGGGCCTCCTCCCCGCCAGCTGGACGGAGGTCAGCGCCCCGCCCGACGGCGACTCGTGGATCTTCTTGCAGGGCCATCGGGCTGGCAGCGTGGCCCCTGGCGAGTTCGGGCGAGGCTCCGAGCTCGCCCCCCTCATCCTCTTCGGCGATGCCAGCGGGGGCCCTGAAGGGCAGGCGCCCCATCCTCGTCGGGTCGGGCTCGCCGTGGCCAGGATCCAACTGCTCAACGGCATGCTGGAGCGGGCCGTCTGGGGCAGCCTCAGCGGCCCCGTGCAGACCGTGCACCGCGCGGAGCTGCGCGCGCTGGTGCTTGCCGCGCAGGGCTCCCTCGGGCCGACGGTCTTCGTCTCCGACAACCTGGCGGTCTGCATGGGCTGGTGGAGCAGACGCGGCCAGCGGCCGCAGGGTGCCGACAGCGACCTGTGGGCCCTGCTGGGCCAACTCTTCTTGACGCGGGACAGGTCGGAGTTCGTCGTGGAGCACGTGAACTCGCACCTGGACATGGACGAGGCCGCGCGGCGCGGCCTCCGTGGCTGATCATGGGCAACGCGGTCGCCGACGTCCTCGCAGGGGAGGCTGCAGAGCTGGCCCGCCTCCCTGCGCCCGAGGGGGCGAGTGCTCCAGGCTGAGCAGATGGCGATGGTGGTCAGACGACGTCTTCTGCGGGCGACCTTGGACGCGCTGAGCGCCGAGGCCGAGTTCACACCATCGATGCGACGCGCGAGACGACGGCGCCAGGCGCCGCCCGCGCCCAGCATGGTGGAGGCCTTCGGCTCGTCGCACGCGCTGGACAGCCTGGCAGCTGCTTGCGATGCAGGTGTTCAGCCTCCCGAGCCGCGCACTCGCAGTGGATGGCATCTCGCTGCCCAGGGTTGCTGCGCGATGGGCCATCCACGCTCAGGCTGCGGGAGGGCCTCCCGCACATCGGAGGAGGTCGGCCCCACGCCTCCCACTTTCTTCGGCTCCACGAGCGCCTGGACGTGTGGTTCTGCGTCTGCTGCGGGTGCTTCGTGGCCGCTGCGGGCCGCATGGT